ACTGTATTGGAAAGTTATTTCCTATTCAAGTTGGTATCAGATGTGTTGAAAAGGACAACAGACTAATAGTGAATCAATGGCAGCAGCGGCAACAGCATCCTTTGCATTTAAATTAATGTTACACAATGTGACATTTGAGTTCAAAGAAAATGTGGCAGCTAGAAGATGAAGTAGGAAAACAAACAGAACCTTTAAAAACAAGCTCACATTAGGCTTCACTTGACTTCAGGTAGTAAGTCATTTATTTGCCAATGATTTGTGTTGCGTTTAAGAGGGAAAGTCTCAATTCTCTGCCATTTGATTCACAGCGAAGCAGCCCAGAACACGGTAGTAAATCAAAGTGAATTTAACCACTCCAGCTCCTGAATGAGGGGAATGTGTTTCCCCACGAGATGCAGTTAAACAGTCAATTGCAATACGCACTGAAAACAGACCGAGCTCGTAGTTTGACTGTTCTTGTGTGGTCCAGGGATGGGAAAGGGTGGTATCAACACGGACTCAGACAAATAAACTAGAGAATGGCCTCTGCAGATTGTATCGACAAGAAGTAATGAATTTTCAAAGCTGTTTCTGTTGTTGTATTGGGCTCCTCACACAAGGCTGGATATATATTAGATATAAGACATTCCAATACAATACAACACACGACCCCTGATTCAAGAGGTCTTTTACACAATAATGGGCTTAAGGGGAGTCGTGTGTTCTTGTTGTGCTCTATACACACTACGATGATGTATTGCTCTCTAAATCTTCTGTTTTAAGCCGTTGGTATTTACAGCCTCTTGGGTTGCCAGGTTTTAAATAAACCCTCTGGCTGCTTTATCCAGTGTGGTATTGACGTGACTCTTCAGTAAAACCTTCAATTTGACCTTCTGACCTCTGAACTTCTGGCTTTATGAATAATGTATTAACATTCATATCTACAGGCTTGATGATTCAGAGAAAGACTTAAAATCAGTTATAAATGTAGTATAACATAAAACAGAGGGTTTTTTTTTTAGCAAGCTGGTGACCTACTGTATGTTCTTTGTATTGGTAACCCATTGCAAACGGCCAGTTAAAAGGATCCTCATAAGAAAATGGGAACTTGAATTACCTCCCTACGGTTCTATGCCTCCACAGTTTCAGTCTATATAATTTTTTCAATAAGACTCATATGAGGTCAGTGTGACCTTTAGCCTTTTGACCGAATCAATAAACAAATATATATATGGAAATGAACATTTGAGCCAAATTTGAGAAGTTTCTCTTGAGGCGTTGCAAAGACACATTGACATTGTTGGCATTCATAAGCAGATAGCGTCTAAGATTTACAACAACCTACAAAAAGTCTTGCTGTTTGTATTTTGTGTGGGGAAACGTTTGACTCGTGTGGACTCATGGACTGTGAACATTGCACGACCAATGGAAGAAGGAGTCTGGGCCTGTATATATGCCGTCTACACCGGAAGCTCCAAATTATTGTTGATTGCCAGCCGGAGTAAAATTTGGTGTCAGACGATGAGATTGCCTCCTGACTCTATTATCCTTCTGTGCTTTTGTCTGCTGAGCCTAATGAAGGTACACTGTTTATTGGCATCTCCTTACAGTGCATTTGAATCCTCCCAAATCAGAGCTGTGACAAAGGTATAGTTATTTCATAGGCTCTTTTATATCATTCAAACAGTTCTGGTAGAATCAAACTGAGAGTCAGCACGACAGCATCTGCAAAATATTGGCGTCACGTCAAATCAAGAGCAACTGAAATTCCTCCAGTGTTCTCTGCCAGTCTGAGGCTCAAGCCTTTTCAGCTCTTAACAATGGCTTTCAAGCAACCCACTAATTTGCAACACTGCTATATTTGCAAAGAAATTCCTGACAACTATTATAAAAAAAGCATCTTTACGTCATGAGATAAAATCACAGCAGCAGCACAAGGTGTTTTTCTGTTAAACTTCTCGCTCTTCGGGCTAATATCACGCTGCGTTTGTGAAACAAGCGGTTATGGTGCAGAAATAGAGGAAGGGGAGCAGGTTGTGAGGTTTGTCCCTGTAAGCGATTCCACTGAGGCAGGACTAATTCAAGGCATTCGTGCAGGGAGAGCATATTTCCCTCTAACCATCTGTGCATTACGCATGATAAAGCTATTCTCTTCACTTTTTCTCCCTTAAAATCACTTAGTGACTCAGCCTCAGTTGAGTTTGGGACGGGGAGTACGTGTTAATAGCGCTGTGAGCAACCCAACACTGACCACGCTCCGCTGGTGTAAAGTCGGAGGAAAAAAAACAGCGTGATTTCCAACTGGCGCACTTCACATTGCCCACCTCCTCCTCCGGCCACCCTGCCAACTTCTCTGCTTTTCTTGGAAGCACAAACATGCACATGCAAACAAACACCGAAGGACTGTTAGAGGATAAGAAGACCGGAAGCATAAATGAGGAAAAGCGCTGCTGAAAAGTTATGTAATTGGGGTGTGTGTGCTGCTCGCTTCAATCAGGGGTGGAAAACAAAACAGATTCAATTATTAATTGTGAAATGAATTAGAAATACACATTCTCAATTACTCTGAATGACTAACCAAGTCTGTGTGACTTCTCTGCCACCGAGCTCGACCTGTTTCTTTGAGCCGATTGTTGCTGTGCACCGAACCATGGCCTCTACAACAATGCCACAGGAATATTACAGTACAGCATTTTTCACTTAAAGGTTGTGTCAGCCTGCCCGTGTTTCTCTGGTGTTTGATTGCCCTGTGCTTTAGCTGGGCATCTGTCTCGTTAGTTCTGTGTTGCTTTTGTCCTGCAGGAGATTGGTTTTCTGATCGAGTGAACTCCACATAAGGATGTGACACAACTGCTGCCGCTCACAGTCGCTCCCAAATTAGTCAAATGTTCCAGTTGTTGTGAAATAGAGAGTAAACCTTCTATTTGGATGAGTTGAGAGACAATACAATTAAAACAGCTCATGCGAGTTGTACACCTGAGCCCCTTTCAGCAGCGTTTCCTTAAAGCCGCATGAAATTTAATTTGAGCATCTGACAGAGTAAAGTAGGCCAAATCATAACGGCATGGGAATCTCATAGCTCATTTCAGTTTGACATTTCATTAAGGTGGCGGGAACTGGAGCAAAGCCGCCAAGCTATTCACGCATACGTCAGAGGGCAGGTGAGGACATGTGGGAATGAGTCAAGGGAAAACCGAGCCCA